CTTCCCCTCCCGGGCTCCAGCTGCGCTGGGGAAGCGCCGGCTGGGGGCGCAGGGTCTGGGGGCTGCCTGGCAAACCCTAAAGCCGGTAGCACTGGGGCAGCCCTTTCCCCCTGGCTGGGAGTGGGAGGGAGGAGGGGGCGGAGAAATGGGCGGGGCCAGGGCCCGTGGAGGGTCCTCTTTTTTTATTTATGAGATATGGTAACCCTACCCGACACCACCCTCGTATCTGAGCCCCGCACAGTCTTCAGCGTGCGCCTCTTCCCCGCGCGCAGCGAGGCAGGGCCGGGCTGCACAGAGGGGCAATGGAGACAGAGGGACGCGCCGCAGGAGCCGGTAGCAGAGCCAGGAACTGAACCAGGTTCCCAAGTCCCACGTTAACCCGCACCCCCGCCCCAGGGAGCCGGGCGCGCCAGCGTGAGACGAGGGGGACGGACACCGCGCGGGGCCCAGAACAGGGCGGACCCGGGCAGGAGACGCCGGGCCCAGGGAAGAAGGGGAGGGGGGTGGGGGCTCGTTCTCCGTTTGTCTCACCAGGTCCTTGAAGCTCCGCGGCTCTTCCACCGCCTCCTCCAGCGGCCCATGCTCCGCGTCCGCCGCCATCTTGCGCTTCACCTTTGACCCCCCCCGCGGGGAGCGCCGGGACATGTGGTTCCCGAAAAGCGGCGCTTTCCAATGACGTCACATCCCGTCTCACGTGGGCGGGGGGTCTGTCTCGAGGCAGGCCAATCGGACGCAGAGCATTGTGCGACTCGTTGTCCCAGCGCGGCGGGCCTCCAGCCAATCAGAGGACGCAAGCCAGGGCGCTGTGGGCGGGGCATGTGAGCCGCGTTCCTTCCTGGTTCTCCAGAGGTGCGTGTGATGATAATACGATGGCGGGACGGGGCCCTGGGGGGCTCTGGGAGCTAGTGAGGCCGCGCCCGGTGCGCGTGTGCTGGGTGCGCGCGCAGTGCTGCTATATGCTGGGAAATTTCCCCAAATCTGGGAATTTTTGAGTAAAATGTTTTGAATGAAAATTCGCAATTTCCCAAGTTGAAACATTTTACTCACCAATTCCCAGGTTTTCGGAAATTTCCCAGGATATAGAAGCACAGTAAAAAACGTTACCTGGGAATTTTTCACCAGATTTGGGACATTTTTAGCGCTAGGTTGGGAAAAGTTGGCATCCTGATATAGAAGCACTATGTGTGCGTGCGGCGGGAGGGGGTTATGTGTGGGGGTGAGTGTGTGTGTGGGGTGATACATGGAGCTCCCGCCCGGGGTCAAGCCCCACTGCGGCGGGCGCTGAATTTGTTAGGGTCTGTTCCGTCAGGCGGAGTTGACCTCCGGTGTCTGCATCAAGGTGTGACCTGGCCGGCCTGGTCTGCTCTGCACCCACAGCGCTAACTCCTGCTGACTGTTTTTTGCCACCGGCTGAGGCAGTAGCCCAGAGCGCTGGGAAGGGTGTTACTCCCGGGCGGGGCAATAGAGTGTTAGTGCAAGTGTCTCCCGATGATCAATATCAAGTTGCCCATAAAGCGGTGAGAAAGGAAGCGGAGAGCTCAGGGGCGTCTCATTTTGGTGCTATCAGTGAATTGTGCTTGGCAGGTTCCACCATCCTCACTGATCCATGGTGGAGTGAGAAGGCCAGAAGCGCAGAGCAAATCTAAGACTCATCACCCTTCCCTCCAGAGCAACAGGAGCTTGCTATGCTCTGGTGATGGGTTGGGGTGAAAGAAAGAGACATAACAGTGAGAAGAGGGAAATACCAGGGAGGTGCTGAGGACAACCATAATAGAGGCTTAAATTAAATGTATATCCCAAATAATTAAAAAAATATATAAGAGGATTAAAAAATGCCACGATAGTTAAACAACAGAGTAATAGAAGCAGTTAGTGGCAAAAAGGCATCCTTTACAAATTGGAAGTCAAATTTTTAGGAGCATAAAATCGGGTAAGTCAAGTGTTAAAGTATAAGGCAGGCCAATACAGAATGTGAAGAGCAGCTACCTCAGGACGCAAAAACTAAGAGCAACATTTTTGTATGTACGGCAGAAGCAGGAAGCCTGCCAAACAATCAGTTTAAAATAATTATTCTCAAATGAAATAGACTGTATGCAACAAAGGAAAATAAAACATTCACAACTCATTTATTGGCATGAAGGGGAAAAATAAAATCCTCGTTTATGGCATCTCTATTGAATATATTAAAATCTATGACAATATTCCATATAAATATAGGTGGGAAAAAAGCCCTCAATGTTTAGGGTTTATATTAATGAAAATTGTGTTTAGTGAGATCATACTCATCAGTGGCTACCACTGCCTGATGCCATTGAAGATAAAGTAAGATAATCATAATAAAACAATAAAAACAAAACAATTCCCAGAGGCTCATCATAGTCCAGAAAGATCTACTTCTTGTAGTTGTAAATTACATGGAGTTTAGCAGGTTAAAATATAGCTATGGTATCTCTAGTGTAAATGTACTTAAATCTTCTTTCAGAGATTTAAACCTCAAGCTTCTCACTTGTGTTTCCATGGAAACATCAGGGAAATAAAGAGTCTACGACCTTGATAAACAATTTTCTTTCCCAGAGAAGAATAGAAAACAATATCATTCTACATATTATTTCCTTTGCAGTCAGGGCCGGCTCCAGGGTTTTTGCCGTCCCAAGTGGCGGGGGGAAAAAAAAAAAGCCGTGATCACAATTGGCACTTCGGTGGCAGCTCCACTGCGCCACTTTCTTCTTCGGCGGCACTTCGGCGGCAGGTCCTTCTTTCCGAGAGGGACCAAGGAACCCGCCACCGAAGAGACGGACGTGCCGCCCCTTCCCCTTGGCCACCCCAGGCACCAGCTTGCTGCATTGGTGCCTGGAGCTGGCCCTGTTTGCAGTAGCTTCATGTCATATGATAATACAAGAGGGAAATAAGCAAAATGGCTTTTGTATAGTTAATGCAGACTCAATGCTTTCTCCAGTTAGTTCTTCAAATAATATTGGTAAAACTGCTAGAGAGTCTCTCTCTCTCTGTCCCCTCTTAAAGATCCAAGACATGCAGGTTGGAGGCCTGGGATCAATTTTCCAGGACGTCAAGCTTGTGATGTAAAACTAAATTTCTAAATCAGGGTACCCGATAAAACCTTGAGCTCTTACTGTCAAATTTAATTAGATCTTTATTTAACTATACCAGACTGCATCTTTTCTGTATTTTCAAAGTTCTTTCACAGTTTGGAATCTTATGAAGTATGGTCTAATTTTTAATGAATTGGTGAGGAGTATTTTTTCCTCTCCAGTTGAGTGGAACTCAAATCTACAGAAAGGCTAGCTGGGATGGGGCCTTACAGTATTTGCATGTGCATTTTGAGCCCTTTGAATTGTTTTTTTATATAAACTGTTACTCAACATTAAGTATGGTGTGGTTGTGGCATAGCATTGTAATACATTATTCAGGTTGACTCTGTTGCCTTAAGTATCAGCGGGGTAGCCGTGTTAGTCTGGATCTGTAAAAAGCAACAGAGGGTCCTGTGGCACCTTTAAGACTAACAGAAGTATTGGAGCATAAGCTTTCAAAAGCTTATGCTCCAATACTTCTGTTAGTCTTAAAGGTGCCACAGGACCCTCTGTTGCTTTCTGTTGCCTTAGCTTCTTGGTTGACTTATGATTTTTGGACCTGTAATGTGAAAAGAAGCAAAAGAACTTGAGAAAGATAGTGACTGTCTTATCTGATTTTCTATCTATAGCTCTATAAATGATGAAATAATCACAAAAGAGAAAAACTTTCCCCCAAAAGCTAATGCTTTGGAAACTTGATCACTATATGTGTGAATAAAGAGGCTACATTCATAGCAAACTACATTATTTAATTACTGTGATGGTTCTCAGGATACCCAGGACAGTGATGAAAGAGATGAAGTGGGCTGTAGCCCACGAAAGCTTATGCTCCAATACTTCTGTTAGTCTTAAAGGTGCCACAGGACCCTCTGTTGCTTTCTGTTGCCTTAGCTTCTTGGATGACTTATGATTTTTGGACCTGTA